TAGGTGAGTAGATCTAAAAATTTAAGTGAAAAAGTTAGAGTTTTAGAGAGAGAGAAGAGAACTCACGGTTTGAGAGGGGAAAAAGAGGGGGAAAGTGAAATGAAATATGTTTGGAGCCTATTTATAGTAACAAGGTAATAATAGAATAATAGCCCCAAAGTCAAATGAAAGTAACAAGTAAAAACTCCCAAAAAGTAGGGCCCAGACCAACCCAAAAATCTGAAAAAAAAAAAAAACACGCAAGGATCAACCCTTCAGGCAAGGAGGTCGACCCTTTAGGTAGAGAAAGTAATTTGGCACAAGCAAGGGGGTCGACCCTTAGACAAGAGGGGGTCGATCCTATTTTCCAGCAACTAACATACACAGATTCTGCAACATAAGAGGGTCGACCCTTCTTAGACTGGTGTCTACCCTATTTTCCAGCAACACTTCCAGAAATTTCACCAATAGGTAAGGGTTGACCCTTAGGAAGGTTGGTGTCGACCCTAAAATAGAATTTCTAAGTTTTCAAACAACTTTTTGACAAGAACAAGTGCGAACAACCGAACCCAACGAGTTTGGATTAGATTATACTCCTCCAAAACTAACATACAACAACACTAAAGATTCCCGAAATAAAATAGAGGATTCAAATACACTTCCCAAAAGTTTTAAAAAGGTACAAGTGTTACAATAATAGAACATTAACAACTATACCATATTTTACAGACACATGTCATAAGGTCATTTGTTAATAAATTTCAAATAACTGTATAACTTATAAAAATATATAGGGTAAATTACATTGACACCCCTTGAGATTTATGTTTATTACAGTTTTTCCTCTCACATTTTGAAAAATGCATTCCCCTCCCTAAGATTTAAAGTTTCATTACAGATTGCTCCCTCCAGCAATTTAATTTTTTTAAACACCAATTTTGCCCTCAATGGGTAAATTACATTGACACCCCTCACATTTTAGAAATTACAATCCCTTCCCCAAGGTTTAAAGTAGCATTACCAATTGCTCTCTTGGTTAGTATTAGTTGAAAAAAAAAAATTCATTGAAAAAAAAAATTAGTTAAAAAAAAATTAATTGAAAAAAATTTTTGTTAGTCAAAATTTTAAATTTCTGTTTAAAAACCAACGTAAACTCATTTTTTGAATTTATGTTTTTTCTTCAAATTTACAAACTGAGACAGCCATTTATAAATCAAAAAAATTATCAAATAAGTTTTTATGACATTGTTTTAAATTTTGTAAATATAAATTGAAAACTGAAAAGGAAATGGTTACCAAACAGGTCTCAGATGGTAAAAATGTCATAAAATTAACAAATAATTAAATAAGTTACCAACGTAAGAAATGATTTATCAAAAGATTCTTAGATAATGTATGGTTTGATTTTTAGAATATTTTTTAAAAATTAAAAAATAATTTGGTTAAGAAATAAAAAATAAAAAATAATTATCATTTTTATATAATTTTTATCTGTTGAGTGTAATAAACATAAAACTCAGGGGGTATCAGTGTAATTTTTTTCTTATGTTGGTTTTTGAACAGAAATTTAAAAATTTGACCAATAATTTTTTTTTCAATTATTTCTTTTTTTAATGAATTTTTTTTTCCAACTAATACTAACCGATGGAACAATTAGTAATGCTACTTTAAACCTTGGGGAGGAGATTGTAATTTCTAAAATGTGAGGGGTGTCAATGTAATTTACCCAGTAAGGGAAAAATTGGTATTTAAAAAAAATTAAATTACTGGAGGGAACAATTTGTAATGAAATTTTAAACCTCAGGGAGGGGGATGTAATTTCTAAAAACTGTAAGAGGAAACTATAATAAACATAAACTTTATGATATCTTAATATAATTTACCTAAATATATAAAAAAAAGTTATTATTTTGAGACGGATGAAATATATAAACTTTATACTTACCGATCATTTTCCATTTAATGTTTCTTTATGATGCCCCATTACTTCTGTCTTTGTGGGCCTAAATTACTTTCCTGGTAGTTGGATTGTTAAGCCACTTTCATTAGGACCCATTACTTTTGTCTTTTAGGCCATTCGCAATTCCTTAGCCTTTGAACTGCATGTATGTGTTAAGATGTAGTAGTTTACGCCTCGTTTAGAGATTATATTAGGACCCATTGCTTTGTCTTTTTTGCCATTCACAATTCCTTAGCCTTTGAACTGCATGTATGCATTAGGATTTAGGAGTTTAGGTGTCGTTTGGAATTATATATTTTAGTTAAAAAATCAAAAAATTATTATAAATTATCATATCATTTTTTCTACTTTTCTGTACATCTTTTTATAAAATGTTAAAAAATTACTAAAATAATATGTTTCTAAACGAGGCCTTAATGTACAAGTTTTGTAGGTTATTTTTTTTTTAAAAAAAATCTTAACAGAGAGAATTTGGTTTTGCCATGTTACCTACGTAGGGTTGGTTTGGGAAGTAATTTTATTTTATTTTAATTTTTTTTAATTAAAATATGAGATAAAATAAATTGAAATGTTTGAGAATTACTTTTTGAATTTTTTTTCAAAAAAAATTACAAAGTGAAGCAAATGAAAATTTGGAGTTGTTTGGGATGCCCTAAATAAGTACACTTTTTGACTTTTTATGAAATATGAGTTGGGTATGGGTTGAATGGGTTGGGTATGGGTTGAGTTTAAAGTGATGTGATAGAGAGGTAATGTTACTTAAATAAGATGATGTGACTTAAATAGAATAGTGACTTTTTGACTTTTTAGATTTTTTTGAGAATGTCAAATTTAACCTAAATCTTTTGATTATTTCTGTATGATGCTACTTTTAACTTTTTCCCCCCACTTTTTAAATATATATCTATTCTATTATTAAAAGGAAACAATAATTTTGGTGTCATGAAGCCACTCCTTAGAAACTTTTCTCAATTTTTCCTAAAATGACCTTAACTTTTTACACTTACATCAGTTTTAATTAGGGGTAAAATGATAAATTAAAACATTCAATTTCACTTTCTCACTTCCCACTCTCCACGTCTCCTTATTGCAGTTACAACAACTTCACTGAAAAGTTTTGAATATATCATTGCATTTTGCATTTGTTTTGATTTCACTGAAAAGTTCTGAATCAGTTACTCCCCACGTCTCCAAACTGCGTTGCAGTTAAATTAATATCAACATCTTCACTGAAAAGTTCTAAAAAAACATGCTTTTCATAAAACTGCATCTGTTTTGATGGATGCTAGGCAGAGTCTCTTTTGAAAGTGTCCCTACAAATATGTGATTGGTTGTAAATGCCCTTTGATGATGTGGAGATGGGTTACAAGACCCTAGGTTCCAGATGGATTCACAATCACATTTTATAGAAAATGCTGGGTTTGTACAGAGAGATTTCTTGGGTCTTAATCACAATAAATTTATCTTCCAGTAAAACTATAGACACCCTCTTTGATTTTAAATATATTATTAGTTCTCAATCAAGTATAAACCAATACTTACGAAAATATGAATAAAAACTAGTTTTGGTCTCAAAAGTATGTGTCTATTGTCATTTTAATCCCTCAAATTTTGTATTTTGTCATTTTGATTCTTAAAATTGTCAATTTGAACCAATTTGATCCTAACTAAAATTGACAACTTTGATAACCAAAATTATAAATTTTAGAACTTGGGGGTACTAAAATGGTAAGAAATGCATACTTTAAAGATCAAAACTATCTTTTACCTAAGGACAAAATATTTTAAAGATAAAACCAAAATGATAAGATTGAAATTTGAGAGACTAAAATAACAAGTAACGCATACTTTAAGTACTAAAATTGTTTTTTTATCCAAAAAGATATGTTCAAAAACACTCTAACCAAACATTCCATTAGTTGAAATATAAATGACTGACAATGGGCTTATTTAATACAACTTATTATAAAATAAAAATTGATAATTAAAAAGCAAAAGTCAAAAACGCACTTCCCCGGCTTCCTGATAATTATTTTATTTAAGCTATTTTTATCTAATAAGTTTTAAGCATAAATTATATCAAACATAGACTCGCAAAATAAAATAAATTATAGCCAACTCATATAAGCTATACCAAATAACCCCAATATACTTCAGCCAATGCGGAAGATAGCAACACTAATTGGTGTTTCTCCCATTCCATTATGGCCCAATTTCATTTATGAATGTTTTTTTTTTTTTGGGTGAATAAATTATTTATTATTTTTTGTTTATAAATGTTGCTCTGTTTCCTTGTAGTGTCATGACATTTCTCCTTTAGCTTCTAGCATTAAACATACGAGGCAATTAAAATAAAAATAAAAAATGATTCACAAGTTTGCATATTGATTATCTAAAATGGCAAGCCTAATTTGGCAACAACCTAATGAAATAATTCAATTATAAATACCTCCTAAGATGGCATTATATAGTCTCATAATACCATATGTTTTTTCAATTTTTTTTTTTTTTTTTGGATGAATAAATTATTTATTATTTTTTGTTTATAAATGTTGCTCTGTTTCCTTGTAGTGTCATGACATTTCTCCTTCAGCTTCTAGCATTAAACATACGAGGCAATTAAAATAAAAATAAAAAATGATTCACAAGTTTGCATATTGATTATCTAAAATGGCAAGCCCAATTTGGCAACAACCTAATGAAATAATTCAATTATAAATACCTCCTAAGATGGCATTATATAGTCTCATAATACCATATGTCATTATTTTTATACCAACTGCAAAACGCACTATGTAAGTCGTCCTTTATCTCTAAACTACCATTTATACACGTGAACAATATTAGATAGTATTCTAAAACTACTAAATAATCACCACTTTTACCTTACCAGTAGACATTATGTCCATTATAGTTAAAGCATTAAAATCAACAAAAACATCAGGAATTGCCCCTAAAATAAGTTCTATCGTCCCTTTAACTAGATAAGCGAAACTTAAGATTCTACACAAAATGATTTATGATGGCATGTTTTTCAACTTCCATAATTCCATAAAATGAGGCAAATTAAAAATATATATATCCTAGAGAATTAATGCATGACTATGGACATCTAACAATGTAAAGAAATCTAGAATAAATCATGATTTATCTGATCAGTAAATTAGACCACGGTTTAAACCCTTTAAAAACTATCATTTGCCTCCCATAGAGAAAGCATCAATCTTCAAATCTCACAATATGGAAAGCAGCTCTAAACAATCATGAACACAAAAAATCTTTTATCAGTGTAGGCATCGACAAATCTTCTTCTTCTTCGATTTCATAAATTAGCTTCAATTTAAAATAGGATGCCCTGTGATTACAACCTAGGAGCCGAATTGCTACTAAACTGCAATACAGAAGCCAAAAAAGTTTGTCAAGAAACAATTGCAAGTCCTTGTTTATATAGATTCGTATATAAGCAGTTGAAGAGAATCAATCTTAAATGTTAGATATTTTAATGGAATAAGTTAAGTTATTACTATTGTGATTCATGACTGCTTCAATGATCAATCTTGCAAGTCACAACTAACTGTGGTTTTGGAATCAAATCTTATTTATTGTGAAGCTAACCTAATAATTTTTTCAATCAAGTTCAAATACAATTAGCCACATGTAAAATGTGATATCTGTTGTTGAAGAAGCTGTAAGCAGTGAAGCATTCCGATGGGTTTAATTTTTCTCTTATCAAGAAGGTTTGGAGCATCATTAAAAAGGATGTTATGGTCTTTGTCTTAGGAATTTTACAAGAATGAGAGAATTGTAAAGGGCCTTAATGCAACATTCATTGCCTTAATTCCTAAGGTTAAAAGAGATTCATGCTTTGAGGAGTCCAATCCCATTTAGTATATATGGTAGGATTTATTTACAAAATATCATCCAAGATGTTATCAATCAGATTAAGTGAACCACAAGCTGCCGTTGTGGGATAGTGTTTAAAACAATTTTTAGATAGGCATATGATCATGTTAATTAGCCCTTTTCCTTATTGGATATGCTTGATAAGTGTCTCATGTAGGGTTGTGTGACTTGAGAAAAGACTAACATACCTAGGCAATCAAAAGCAAAGACCCAATAATCAATCATGGGGAATTTAAAAAAAAAAAAAAAAAGATTGCTAAATATGTTTGTCCTTCAATGGATTGGGGACATTTCTAATTCTGAAAAAGAGGAATTACTGCTGAAAAATGTGTCACCTGTTTTACTATACTGCTAAGGAGGCCATCATCCGACGAACTGCTGCTATTATTGTGATGGCTCTTGATTTCTCTTTCTGTATTCTCAAAGGGATATCGATGCTGCCCAAACTGCCCTTTTTTGATTGAGTCATCTGTGATTTGTCGCATGTCAAATGGAAAGTTAATTGGTTCTTCTTTTACTTTGAGATTAGCTAAATTTCTTCCTTCACGTGGCCCTGAAATCGGAAAACAACAAAATGATGAGCTCTATAAAACTCAAAATTGTTCACTCAGTACATATATATGTAGCTGACTTAATATCCATACCAAATACAAGAATGATAAAAACAAAGCAAAACTAGTGTCTACTGAAACTCCATCAATCAAAAATTTATTAAAGGAAGAAACCCTTTTGTTTTAAGTGGACATACAGTGAAATCTGCTCTCAAATTTAAGTGTAATAATTGATATAACATTCTTATTTTTTGGTCTGAAAGCTTGAAATTTTGTCAATTTATAGAATTATTTCAATTTTGGTTCCATTGATATAGGAGGGGACAAAGAACAAATTAGCGAAATACTAAAAACCAAACAGAATTCAATGATATTGGGGAACAAAAATAAAAACAAATATACCAAACAGAAAGATAAAGGGATGATAACTAACATGGAAGCAGCATGGCAAGAGAATCAGGTTGAAAAATTGGATTCAATTGATCTGAAGCATTGGGCATTTGAAAAGGAACACCAGCAAGGTTGAAGGCTGCAGGAGGACATGAATATGGCCCAAAGCTAACAGGCATACTGCTTGGACCAGATTGTCCTGTGTGAAATCTAGGAAGCTGAGAAGAAGACATCTTGAAATTGTCATAAAAAATCTCTGTTCCCGAATTAATAGAGTGAAACCTCGTCCCATTCAATTCATGATGGGGAGACGGATTTGCTGCAAAAAATTGAGATGGAGGGACACTTCCAAGCACGGTTGGGCGCATTTGATCTGCTACTACTTTGGGAGGTAGTTGGTTTTGTTGGAGGAGTTTTGCATTTGATGTGGAAGCACCAAATGTTTGAAGCCGGCTACCAAATGAGATGATCCCAGTACTCATGTCTTGTTCTGCAAATCTATTGTGATGATTGAGGGTGTTTAGGCCTTGATTAATACAAGCTGTGGTGATTGTATCAGATAGAAGACCATTTGTTCTGTTTGAATTGATATTGTTCTCGCTTTCTTGGGTCATTTTAGCTTTTGTGTTCTCCTTCCTTAAGGGATTTCTGTACTTCTGCAATCAAGAAAAAGGAGTATCAAAATACAAACATTTAAAGAATCACAGTTTAGTTTCACTTGCATTACATATCTGACTAGTCCATGATGCAGGATATAGATAACAGAGGACTCATAGCCTAGAATGCCATCTTGGAAGCATGATGGAAAGACCAAACTAACCTGAAGGTGGTTAGCAACACTTGCTAGAGAGATCACCGGTTCATTCATGATTTGGAGTATCTCCTTTGGAACTGCTTCTGCAAAGGTACAAAACCACAGACCCAATAATGTTAGGATATACCCCAATACATACTTTTACCTTTGCTATGTTTGTGTGATATTAGCAGCTAAGCTAGTGCAAGGAGCAAGGTTTTACATAGTGGTATCGAAAGACGATTAAGTATGGATTACAGTGTAACCTTATTGGAAGTATCAAGCCTTATGCATTGGGAATCAATAAGGTGTATATTTTTTAAGCTTGTAAAATAAAATAAAATGAAGATCCAAGACTTACTATCTACTCCTAGCAGCCGAACAGCATCCACAAACTTGTTATGCAACACTACAGTCCAACTAACCCTCTTCTTCTTCTTCTTCTGAGCAGATGGAATTGGGGGGTTTTGATCTGTTCCTTCTTGCACGGTGCCAAATTTCGTTGTATTAAATAGGTTCTGCCGGACCACATGCTGCCAAATATTCTTCACTTCTTCCAACCGAAGTGGCTTAATCAGGTAGTCTCGAGCTCCATGCTTTACCCCCTTCATCACCGATTCTTTGTCATCGTTTGTAGACATCACTGCAATTCCAAACTTATGTTTAAGATTTAATCTCATCCAAGTTAATGTATACTGATTAAGAAATGATGAGTTTACTTATTACTGGCATGTCCATTTCAAGGCCTATTATCTCCAAAAGCTCGAAACCATTCATATCAAGCATTATAACATCGGTAATCACAATATCATATTTTTCTTTGTTCTTCCTCAACATTTTAAGAGCTTCTGTTGCTTTTGTTGTCGCCGTTACTGCATACATATCAAAATACATAAAATTTTGGAATAAATAGGCCTAACAGTTCAATGACCCTTTCAATAGTCTAGATTTTTGTACCTCTGCTCTCTAGAGTAAGGAATGTAGTTTTAGAAAAAATTCTATGAAACAGTGCATTAAATTCAATTCAATTGGCTTTATATGTTTTGATTGAACTCCCTCTGTAAATTTTGTAAGAGTAACTGCATAAAAACATTGGAATATAAATCTTGATTCATAGGGAAGACATGATCATCTGCCTAATCCCCAAACTGTAAGATTCAAATTCGTTTTGTGTTTTTATAACCGAGAACTAGTCAGACCCACAATAATGATCAATTTTGGGGGAAACACTTGTTTGACCATTGTAATAAAATAAACATTATTTTTTAATTTTATCAATTTAAATCATAAAATTTTTATTTATTCTAAACCATCTACCTCCCTATTTCTGATAAGTAAAATCAATGAAAAATATGATATTTTAGTCATTAAAATCAACCAAAAAAAGTGTTTTAGATATTTTATGTACATATACATTGAGTTTAATTACTAAAATACTATGTTTTTCATCCATTTTACTTAAGAAAATAGGTTGATGGTTTAAATTAAAAACAAATTAAATTTTAAAATTTAAATTGACAAAATTAAAAATTCATATTCTTTTGCAATTTTCTTTAAATTTAAATATCCGACAATTTAGTAACATTATACTTACTTGGCTGTTGCCTTTAAAAATAGAGAGAGAAGTTTAAGATTTAATCTTATCCAAGTTAGTCTATACTGTTTAAGAAATGATGAGCTTACTTATTACCAAAAAAGCAACAATAAGAGCAACAATACAATGACACCAAACAATAAAAGAAAAGGATGCCGAAAACATCATAGCAAAGATACAACAAAAATGCTATAACTCTATTATGTTCACAAACCCAAACTAGGAAAATCATTTTAAAAAATGAAAATAAAATAAACAAACAACCTAATAAGATGTATTAATTCATAAATTCTACAATTCGAAATTATCAATTTATATAACTGTTATAGTTATGTTACGCACAATGTATACATTTAAAATTAGAAATCACATGTATACATTGAAAATTCAAAGAAAAAAGTCTAAGAATCATATTCGATAAGTACTCTCCACATAAAGTCTAAGAATCATATTTGTGTTTTTATAACCGAGAACTAGTCAGACCCACAATAATGGTCAATTTTGGGGGAAACTCTAGTTTGACCATTGTAATAAAATAAACATTATTTTTTAATTTTATCAATTTAAATCATACAATTTTTATTTATTTTTCAATCTAAACGATCTACTTCCCTATTTCTGATAAGTAAAATCAATGAAAAATATGATTTTTAGTCATTATAATCAACCAAAAAAAGTGTTTTAGATATTTTATGTACATATACATTGAGTTTAATGACTAAAATACTATGTTTTTCATCCGTTTTACTTAAGAAAATAGGTTGATGGTTTAAATTAAAAACAAATTAAATTTTAAAATTTAAATTGACAAAATTAAAAATTCATATTTTTTTGCAATTTTCTTTAAATTTAAATATCCGACAATTTAGTAACATTATACTTACTTGGCTGTTGCCTTTAAAAATAGAGAGAGGAAAATGGAGCAATTGCCCAAAGTCGCCTTTTTTTTTTTTTTTTGAAGCACCAAAAAAGCATTTTATTTATAATAAACAAGCAACAATACATTGACATCAAATAATAAAAGCAAAGGATGCCGAGAACGTCATAGCAAAGATACAATAAAAATGCTATAACTCTATTATGTTCACAAACCCAAACTAGGAAAATCATTTTAAAAAATGAAAATAAAATAAACAAACAACCTAATCAGATGTCCACAATTAATTCATAAATTCTACAATTCGAAATTATCAATTTATGTAACTATTATAGTTAAGTTACGCACAATGTATACATTTAAAATTAGGAATCACATGTATACATTGAAAATTCAAAGAAAAAAGTCTAAGAATCATATTCGATAAGTACTCTCCACATAAAGTCTAAGAATCATATTTGTGTTTTTATAACCGAGAACTAGTCAGACCCACAATAACGGTCAATTTTGGGAGAAACTCTAGTTTGACCATTGTAATAAAATAAACATTATTTTTTAATTTTATCAATTTAAATCATAAAATTTTTATTTATTTTTCAATCTATACCATCTATCTCCCTATTTCTGATAAGTAAAATCAATGAAAAATATGATATTTTAGTCATTAAAATCAACAAAAAAAGTGTTTTGGATATTTTATGTACATATAAATTGAGTTTAATGACTAAAATACTATCCGTTTTACTTAAGAAAATAGGTTGATGGTTTAAATTAAAAACAAATTAAATTTTAAAATTTAAATTGACAAAATTAAAAATTCAAATTCTTTTGCAATTTTCTTTAAATTTAAATATCCGACAATTTAGTAACATTATACTTCCTTGGCTGTTGCCTTTAAAAATAGAGAGAGAAAAATGGAGCAATTGCCCAAAGTCCCTTTTTTTTCTTTGAAGCACCAAAAAAGCACTTTATTTATAATAAACAAGCAACAATACATTGACATCAAATAATAAAAGCAAAGGATGCCGAGAACGTCATAGCAAAGATACAACAAAAATGCTATAACTCTATTATGTTCACAAATCCAAACTAGGAAAATCATTTTAAAAAATGAAAATAAAATAAACAAACAACCTAATCAGATGTCCACAATTAATTCATAAATTCTACAATTCGAAATTATCAATTTATGTAACTATTATAGTTAAGTTACGTACAATGTATACATTTAAAATTAGGAATCACATGTATACATTGAAAATTCAAAGAAAAAAGTCTAAGAATCATATTCGATAAGTACTCTCCACATAAATTTTCATATCCTCAAGAATTATGAACTTGTTCAAATAATAAACCAAACCCTATTTGTGATCTTCAAGCGTATAAGTCAATATATATATATATTGGGATTGAGAATAGAAACCTTTATAGCGACACTTGTTGAGAAGAGCAGCAACAAGTTTGAGGCAGACAACGTTGTCATCAACCACAAGAACACTCAAACCCTCCGGAAAGTTGGCATTCACTCTGCTTTGCAGTGGTGCCGCCCGACTCACATGAGCAACCTCAATCTTTGACATAATGAAAACACTTTTATTATTATTATTCGAAGAAAGAGAATATCTTCACCAAGATATATGCAATTTGCAAAGTGGGTTTTGTTTTGGTTTTCTCTTGGGATATCACTAGGATTTTCTCTGGAAAATCAAGCAGGAAAATTGCTCCATGAAAAAGTTTATGAAGAAGGAAAGGAATATAGGAGAAGCAAATTTAAGAGAGAAGCGTTACTAAAACGTTACATAATAATTAAAACGTTCCACAAGGGGAAACTAAAAGCAGCAAATATTGAGTTTCCATAAGTGAAGTTTCCTTGTACTTGTAATACAAGTAACACGTGTTTGACCTTGAATTTATTTTATTTTATTTTATTTTTGGGACAAATTTCTCCGGTGGTTCTTCTAAATTATTTGCATCAATTTTGATCTTAAAATTTTCATATAGTGTCAATATAATCCAATTGGTAATGTTATTTTAGAAATTGAACTAAAATCGATGATCAAAATGGTCATTTACTATTCCTATAATAATTGAGAGGTTGCTATCTAATTTAAAATAATCTATTTCCTTTTGAATTGAATACTTTATCATTGATTTTTGTCAAAATTCTTAACAAATATTATCAATTCAATTAAATTAAGACTATAAAAAAATTTAAAAGTAAAATTGATACAATTACATTCGCAAAAACTAAATTGACATAAAAAATTGATTAAAATTTCAATACATCAATTACTTCATTACAAATATTGACGTGCAAGCCCTGGGCAGAGGTGGGGGCCACATACAACACTGTGGTGTCAATTGAGCTCACTTTTAAAACGTTACTAACTCTTTAATAGGGTTAATTACAGCCAGCATCTTCAATTATTAAATCAAATCAGAATTTAAATTTCATTCACCTTTAAAACATTAATAACTCTTTGATAGGGTTAAATGAGATCATATAATGTCAATCTAATCCGATTGGTAATGTTATTTTAGAAATTGAACTAAAATCGATGATCAAAATAGTTATTTACTATTCCTATAATAATTGGGAGGTCAGTATCTAATTTAAAATAATCTATTTTCTTTTGAACTGAATATTTTATCATTGATTTTTATCAAAATTCTTAACAAATATTATCAATTCAATTAAATTAAGACTATAAAAAATTAAAAAGCAAAATTGATACAATTACAATCGCAAAAACTTAATTGACATAAAAAAAATTGATTAAAATTTTAATACATCAATTACTTCATTACAAATATTGACGTGTAAGCCCTGGGCAGAGGTAGGCGCCACATACAACACTGTGGTGTCAATTGAGCTCAATCACCTTTAAAACGTTACTAACTCTTTAATAGAGTTAATTACAGCCAGCGTCTTTAATTATTAAATTAAATCAAAACTTAAATTTCAAAATTTCATTCACTTTTAAAACGTTACTAACTCTTTAATAGGGTTAAATGAGATCATATAATGTCAATCTAATTTGATTGGTAATGTTATTTTAGAAATTGAATTAAAATCGATGATCAAAATGGTTATCTACTATTCCTATAATAATTGGGAGGTTAGTATCTAATTTAAAATAATCTATTTCCTTTTGAATTGAATATTTTATCATTGATTTTAGTCAAAATTCTTAACAAATATTATCAATTCAATTAAATTAAGACTATAAAAAAAATTAAAAACTAAAATTGA